CATCGACTATATTTTCTCTCGCTTCTCCTCACAGTCGACGAAGCTTAACACTGATTGTGTCTTCTCTCTTCTCTTATCTGTATAACACAATCGGTGAAGCCTAGTGCCGACTGTGTTTTTTCTCTCTTCGTTCTAATACAACCGGCAATGCCTAGCGCCGACTACGTCTTCCTTCCCTCTCTCTCTTTTATTCTCCCGCATTTCATATTCTTCTCTTCCTTTCTTCTCCCTCTCTCCTTATGTTCCCTTCTTCTCTTACTTCACTTCTTATTCTTTCTTCATAATCCTCATTCTGTTACACTTTCATTAGACTAAGATGGATCGAGGTTAGCCTCTCATGGTAGTCTTGTCTTCTAACTCTAATGTTATTGTGAGGATTACTTCGCCCGCTTTATTGCCACGACAGACTAACCATCGTGCCTAGCTAATTGGTATTGGTAATGATGTCTAGTAGTAACCCTGTGAGTCGGTCTTAGTTATCGAGCCCATTTTACTACCACGTCAAGCTAATTATTCATCAGCTTAGTCATCGCTCTGATCCTCTCGCTCAGTAGAATTCTTCTCTCCCCCATCTTTGTTCTCTTATATTTTTTCTTTTTGAATGCGCATGCTTGTGTACATTCATCAAATAGGAAAAGGGTGAGGTCGACCCACTTGTCTTATAACCTTTGCTATATGTGCGTGATTATAGAAAACAAGAAGAATACAAGCCAAGGGAGGCGATTCCGAACCTATTTTATTACTGGGGCATTTTCTTCATGATCTAAGAGGGTGCCCACATGAGCCAGCCCGAGTAAGTTCCGAACCCATCTTAAATTCGTCTCTCACCGGTTGGTAACACTTGCCGCCATTCGCGAAGGAGGTTCCCGAGAGAGCGATCTCAAAAACGACCCTGGTCTTCCCTCAAAACTCGAGACGTGTGCCACCCAGTCTCCAAAAGGATCAAGAGGGCGAGATTGAGGCACCTAACCAAAGACATAGGCAACGATGTGCTTCCCTCATCCATGACAGATGAATGAGAAGAGTGAGAGAAAACAATGCGACGATGAGCATTCGCTATCCATGATAGAGACTTAAATAAGGAGATTTTGACAGAGGCTCGGCCGGCCACTTAGGTTAAGGCCCAACTCACTGTTGACATTCCTAAAGCAAAAAGACATCATGCCATGCGATAGATTCCATCATGCATGAACGGAAAGGGAGAAGAAAGAGAGAGAGAGAGAGAGAGAGAGAGAGAGAGAGAGAGAGAGAGAGAGAGAGAGAGAGAGAAGAAGAGAGAGAGAGAAGAAGAAGAAGAAGAGAGAGAGAGAGAGAGAGAGAGAGAGAGAAGAAGAAGAAGAAGAAGAGAGAGAGAGAGAGAGAAGAGAGAGAGAGAGAGAGAGAGAGAAGAAGAAGAAGAAGAGAGAGAGAGAGAGAGAGAAGAAGAAGAAGAAGAAGAGAAGAGAGAGAGAGTAGAGAAGAAAGAAAGAAGAAAGAAGTA